CCCCAAAACCCCAAAACCCCATAGTTTCAAAATAATGATTATTGCTGAGGTGATAATAATGGATTAAATATATAATTTTCTAATAATATTTATTCATTGAATGAGTTTTTCCGATAATGTTAGAGAGCTGATCTTTGACAGTTATTTTCATGAACTAGTCAAAACTATTCGGCATTAATTAATGGAGGAAATCGATCCAAGTTTCAAAGAAAGATACTAGAGATTGGCATCATTAGAAAGAAAGAAGAAACCGATCAAAATAAACATCATTCATGAATAGCAGAGCCTCCCTTCACAACAAGAGATTAAATTTCAGCATTAGTAACCAAGCAATAACAAAATTGAATTTAAGAGTTCCTTGTTCTTAAAAGGAGATGCTACAACAAAATCTGATAAAAAACTTAATAAAAAGGACTTTAGTATCGATATTGCTCCTCTAGAAATTAAAGTAGAAGAAACTCTTAGGTCGAATTCTGAAAACGTCAACATGCTTTAAGATAAAAAAATTGATAACTATAACCCATTCATTGATAATTACCTTGGCATAGACTGCGATAATATTGATGATCATTCGTAATCCTCAGAAAGCCCTTTGAGAATTTTGAGTTAAGAAATTTCTGCAATTTAGAAACTTGAAATTACTCAAAAAAACTATTTAAGTCCAACTAAGATCCCAGGACTGTAGAGCCGAAATTAGAGACTTTAGTTAGGAGGTCAAGTGAGTGATATGTCACCCATGTCTTCATATATTTCAGGATTTTATCTTGACAGAATAGATGAATTACTGCCAGAAAAGAAACTAGTAACAGAAAAATTATTCAAAGGCAAAGATTAGCATCAATAGATTTTATAGGAAGATACTCCTTTTAACAGAGTCGATGACAACAACAGGCAAAGCATTAATTTCAAACAAAGATATGAGAATAAGTTTTTATCTAAATTCCAAAGGAGAAAGGAAAAATTGCGATACAAGCTTTAATTTCCTAGAAAGCAAGACTATATTGATGACAAAAATAAGAAGAAGTCAGCTTAAGCTTTGAAATTTCTCAGGAAACTGGGAAGAAAGTTGAGAAGACCTTAAGCTTTTATTAAATAAGGACGCTAAATAAATATAAAAAAGTAATCTGATGGGGTTTCATCACAATTTAATTATTTTGAGTCCCCTGCTAAATCTTGTATTACTATTGAGTCAAATGAAACTAGAATATCTCCAAGGCAAGCTCTGATAAAATAGCAGTAAAAAAATGATGCTAATTACAATAATAATATAAATGATGGACAGATGGTATTTTCCAATTTCTAATTTCAACTGCATCAGACTGGAGGAAGTGAAGATAATATCAGCAGTGGGGGAAATAGCAGTGCAAAGTATAGAGATATATACAAGGCTAATAATTAAAGCCAAGTACCTAAAAGGAAAACTAAGCAACTCGAGCACAGTCCATCTTTTGAAGTTGTTGAAAAACCAGAAAGTAATGCAGAGCCATGACAAGATAACACTGAAGGTACAATTTTTTATGATCCCTAGGGAAATTTCAATGCATATGATGAAATCTAAGAGCTTCTTTCTCCAATCGCGACAAGGAACCATGTGAAGCCAGAGTTGGATGAAATGGAGATTAGATTTATGGATGCATTCGTGGAGTACAGAAAGGACAAAATCTACTACGACTTCAATAACTATGATAAATATAAGATAGATGCCCTTCAATCAAATAATTAAATAGAACAGAATTTAGGAATAACTAGGGATAGTTCCATATCTTTCAAAGATTAAAGATTTACAATTTAAAAAACTCAAAATTCTAATTAGAATCAACTGGCAGTAACCTAACTTCAGTAATAACAGTCTAATTCAACAATGCAATAGCAGCAAAGCAAGAGCTATTAAAGCAAAAATCTGTAGATTGAGGCAGTCAAGAAATACAACTACCAAAAGTAATCTTCAATAGAAACTCTAAATCCTTACACATCAAAAAATTTCTAGATTGACGAAGAAGATGAATTGAGGGAAAATGACTCGCCTACAGACCTGATTGCTACAGATGATGTTAAAAGATAGAAAAAAGTGAAAGCATCAGGTTTTAAAACTATCAATCAAAGTCTTAAAGATTTATAATAAATTCTTGATTAGCAAGAAATATTTGACTTGAATAAGTACCAATCTCACACATCTAATTAGTACTATTTAAATACAGAGGGGGATGATACTGATTCTAAATTTTCACAAGATTTTGCTTCAGTTACTGAGGATAAGCGCTCTCAAAGTATATCAAAAGCAACAGCTAAAAAGAGTTTATTTTAAAAGAACTAAATGTAGAAATCAATGAGTCGTAAGGTCATTAAAGGCAGATCAAACAGTAAAAAGCGCATCTCAATAGACCCTGCAAATAAGGACAAACACGACAGTGTTGTTTATTTAGATCAGTTAACTCTAAAACAGATGAAAAATAGTTTCAAGCTACTCTGCGAAGATATAGTATAGCCTATGGCCCCATTAATATTATAGTGCAACCGAAAATTCTCAGCTTTATGAAGAGAGTATGAGGTGCCTGTTTCTATAGGATTATCAAACAAATATTGAATCAAATTTATCTTATAACAATTTGGCCTTAAGTGGAGATTAAATTTAATACTTCTCTAATTCATCTATTATAAAACTTTATGGGGTTTTGGGGTTTTGGGGTTTTGGGG